TTATGGATAATTTAATATAAATCTATGGTAATTTTATAATAAATAATTAAAAATGAGGTAGTAAATAAATGATAACATAATAGTAAATGCAAAATAACATATTAGTAAATTAGTGATAACTTAATAGTAAATTATTGATAATTTAGTAAAAGTAAATCACTAGTAACTTAGTTATAAATCAATGATAATTTAATAATAAATTAGTTAATCATTGTTAGTTTTGAAGTAAATCATCAATAAATTAGTAGTAAATAACTTATAACTTTTTAATAAATCATCAATAACAATTTAGTAAATTATCAATAATTTAGTAATAAATCATTAAAAATATGATAATAAATCAATGATAATTTAATTGTTAATCATTAATAATTTTTTTATATTTGAAATTGCTAAGAATTGAACTTTAGTTATGATAGAAACAAAACTAAAACTTTCATCTTGAGAGGCTTGGGTAAACATATAATGAATCTATTTAATAAAAAATTTAATAAAAATTTAAATTTAAATAAAATAATAATATTATTACATATATAAAAAAAAAAAGTAAAAAATTACCATAGGTCCATGTACTCTTTGATTTTTGAGAAATTTGTCCCGCTAGTCTAATTTAAAAAGATTTAGTCTCTATACTATTATTTTTTAAAGATTTTAGTTTAATCATTAACAATGCTAAATTTTATCTGTTTAAATGGTTGCCATGGCTACTGACATGGCATTTTTATTGGTTTATATTTTTTTCAATGCCAACGTCGTTTAAAATATTGGCCACGTCGACCATTTAAACAATGGATAAGTTTTCTTACCATCCAAATATCGTTTTTTTTTTTTTTTTTTCATTTCATTCCTTCTTAAAAAAAAGAAAAAGCCAGCTCTTTTAAAAAATGTTCCAAATCCTAGAAATCAAAGCTTTTTTACCATCGCTATTGCTCCGTCAGTCACAACGACCACTGCAATTGACTAACATCTATTTGAGCCTAAATTTTCATCAGAGCTTCTTTTGAACCCTTTTTCTCTGTTCTAAGCTCAGATTTTTCCAAAATGGCCTAAATCTGCCCATATCTAAAATCCAAAACCGAAACTTTAAGCCGTAAAATCTTTTCCTTCTATCATTCAATCCTCTTAAGATTTTGATATAATACTACTCTCTTCTCACTTTACGTTTCTATCGTTCCCGATCGTCCAAAATTTTAGCTGCCATGGACCTCCCTTATACTACCATTGCTCCTACAGCCGGCAGTGGCCCCTTTTTTTTGTCTTTCCTTGTTGCTATTTCCTTACTTCTCTATAAATCCGAAACAAACTCATCTAAAAACACCTCTAAACCGACAAAGCTAATCTTTTCGAAACCAAAACTGTTATATTATATATATATATAATTATATATATTTTTTATGTATTGGTGCTGCTTCTTCTTTCCTAAGGGATGTGTTTTTTTTTTTTTTTTGGTTGTTTGTTGGTGATGGGCATTTTGCTAGTTGATGGGGTGCTGGCACTATGAGTTGGTTTGACAATTTCAGTGGCGGGTTGCTGTTGATGGGCAATAGGATAGATAGTGTCTTTTTGGTTGCGGGGAATGGTTTGACGATTTCGATTTGAGATTTGAGAACAAAGAATATGGGTTCTTTTCATTTTTAGGTTTCATGGTTTTTCTTTCTATTTTTTTTTTATAGGTTTTTTTAATGATATTAGAAATTATTAAGTACAAGTAATATTTGAAATTATTTGTTAATGTTAACTTGGATTTTTGTAGTTCACATGGCCATTATTTTAATCTATGTCAGCATTAACAATTCTAAGAAATAATGAAAATGCCTCGTTAGCAGTCACGTTAATAATTTGACGGATAAAATTTAATACATTAATGATTAGATTAAAATTTTTAAAAATAATAATATAAAGATTAAATTTTTTTTAATTATATTAAAGAAATTAAAATTTCAAAAATTAAAAAGTACAAAGATTTATGATATATTCTTATCAAAAAGAAAATTATTTTATACTAAAATGAATCCATGCAAGAATCAATTATTAAATGTATAATGATACAAATTTTATCAATAATTATAAAAAATATATCATAAATTATCAAAATTATATGAAAGATTATTAAAATTATATTAAGAGATTACCAAAATTTTATAAAAAATTATCAAAATTGTATCAATAGTTAAAAAACTTATATCATAATTATCAAATTAATATTGAAAGTTAACAAAATTATATCAAAAGTTACAAAACTTTTAATAAAAATTACCAAAACAGATGTCAAAATCAAAATTATATAAAAGTAATCAAGTTTTATTTATATATATGAAATCAAAATTAAACTGTCAACATTTATTTTTATTATTATGATCATAGCATCCAAAAAATTTGTTTATTGAATTAAATTTTCAGAAATAAAAATTATGTGTGCATCATGCATACAGAAATTAGTCCCTTGAAAAAGACTTTCATTCTGCTATATTCATTATCGAATTCAAATTCCATGGTGGCATCAACGAACCATGTTGGTCTCCTAGTTCAAACTTCGTAGTTCTACTCTCAAACTTATCATGAAATTCCTCGGTGTCAGATATTTAGAATCAACCAGAGAAAATCTATCAAGCATTATTGCTTTCGTTGGTTGGTTTATCTTGTTTTGATTTCAAGTGATGACAAGGACTCAAAAAAAAAAAAAAAAGGTTTTTGGTTCCTTTGTTTTACTTTTTTGGCCAAGAACACAACGTCTTCAACAAGGAGAGTTTCATCATAATTATGTCCCATATCAACATAGCAATACCCTTCTTGTTGCTTGTTTGGAAAATACATTTTCTTTGTCCACCAAAGGGTGGAAAAGTGAGAGAGAAAAAAGGTCTCAAAATGGGGAAGCCTAGGGAATAAGAAGGGAGAACACTAATCTCTTTTCAAACAAGAACAAGGATAGTAGACAACTTTGTACTTGAACAAGGTACCAGCACAAGCTACAATTGATTTTGTACTTGCCTTTAATAGTTCAAGGAAATGACATTTGATTACACAATTAATCTTAATCGAAATAGAAAAAGAACCCAATCTCCCTTGATTCATAACAATACACATGATGGTGCTTTGAATATGGCCGATAAAGACTTGGAAAGACTAGCTAGAAACAGTAGTTGAAATGTGTCTACTTATGTTTGTTTCTTCATAAATCATAATAGAAATACAACTACTCTTAAACTAAACTGTTTAGATTTTTTGGGGGGGGAAATAATGAAAATGATCCCTTTTGGGATGTTGTTTAGTGGTTAAATGTGGGGAGTGTATTAAAAGTGAAGATGAAGCAAAAAAGAAAAAGGGAAAGTCTCGTGTTTCACAGGGAATTTCATCCACATTTTCCTCCCTTAATTCCCACCCATCATGAAATGTCGGATCATGTGTTGTTTTCTTGGTTGAAGTCAACAACTCATGCAGTACTCTTTCATTATTTTCCTTTTAACTATTTATGTCATTTTAGGGTAATAAAATCTATATTATAACATAGCATCAAATATAAACCTAAAAAAAAAAAAAAAAAACTAAAGATAGATTAACAACTCAAAAGAATGAACTGGAGAGTGCAACGTGAGAAAGTGTGATTTTAACATCCTTCGAAAATAGAATTAAGTTCAAACAAAACGTGAAAATAGCTCTGATCGCAAAAAAATGCATACATATCGAATCATGTCGGAGACAATCAGTGAAAAGTGAAAAGTGAAAAGTTGTGGGTATGAATTTTCCAATGAAAATAATGCACACAAACAAAGGGAAAAACAAACCCTGGAATCCTGTAAAAGTTGTAAAAACATGTAATGAAAAGTGATTCTTTAGCTCTTGATCAGGTATTATTTTACTAATTAGCAAAAGGAACTTTATTCTAGTTTTTGTTTTATCTCCTAAAAGGGGCACAGATACAGACAGAAGCTATTCAATAATAATATTATGCTGATGAATAATGCTGGAAACCTGGTTTTGAAATGTGGGCTACTTTCAAATTTGAAATTGGCTAACAGATTCCAAAAATATCTAATTGTCTTTTGAGTAAATGGCAAGTGATCATAAATTAGAAAATGGTTTCCAGGATTTGGACTACCAGTGAGATATTTTATGACCCACATCTAATATTTATCCCACTTCCCCTCCCCTGATCACAGCATTTCTTCTGAATAATCATGACAAAAATTTTTGCATACACATGAAAATAGAAAGATTAAAAGCATTGTGGTAATCAAAATCAGATCATTAAAAATAATGATAGCAGATAATCAGTCTATTAATTTTGCAGGATCTTAATCATAGTTTTACTTACTGTGATAAGGACGATAAAAGCTAGTAGCTTTTGGTCCCAAAAAATAATTAAGTGTTAATCATGTAAGCTACAGTGCTTTACAAGTAAGCTAAGCCCCCATGATAAAAAAGCTGATACATTTGAGCTTGGAAATCATTAATGATTCTTTTTGTGCTCTCTCTATATATATATTAAGTATCAAAAGAAAGGATTCCATCAATTTATTGAGATTTTTTTTAATGAAAAGCAATGAGGAATTAGCCATCAAAATATTAAGTTAAAAAAAAAAAAAAGCATAAATGAGGTTCGGTCCGTCACAAGAACTTTCATAACATTTTAAATTTTAAATTTTTAGTTTTTTCAAAAAATTTCGTAAAAAAAATTATAAGTGTTATAATTTGAATCTCAAACTTACTAAATATCAACTCTTAAAAATAATTGCATAAATCATCAAAGCTAAACTTTAGATTCAATGTTTTGAATTTAATATTTGGAAGCACATGAAGATTTTCAAACATTACCCGTAAGCTATTTTCTTGTCATAACTTGGCAGCATCAACAATTTAAAGAGTGCACTCCACCCCTCTCTCACAAAGCTCAGCTCGATCCTCCACTTAGAAAGCGAGAGAAGTTTATCATAAACATTACGTTAATTCCTGAAAATGGCAGTAGTGAGCCTCCTAACAAATGAGGTTGAAGATGAGGAATACATTGACATGGAAGTCAGTTCATACTCCAACTTCTTCTGCAACTCCATAAGCTCTCCTCCACACCCAATAGAGTTTGAGTTCCAAATGTCTTCAGTCTCCATGGAAAGAAAGCCCATAACCTCCCCGGCTGATGAGCTCTTTTACAAAGGTAAGCTTCTACCACTTCACCTCCCTCCACGGCTGCAAATGATCAAAAAACTCCTGCAAAATTCGAATTCTGTTTATGAAGACAGGAAAGATAACTTCGAAGAATTCTATAGCACCCCATTAACCTCTACTGTCACAACACCTACAACAACCAGCACTCCATTTGAATCCTGCAATATCTCACCTTGTGAATTCTGTCACGTTAGTAGAGAGCTGAATCCAGAAGAGTATTTCTTTGAGTGCTTAACACAAGTAAGCGGCTGCATTGGTGAAAACCCTAAGAAGTCTTGGACCAAAAAGTTTAAGCTGACCAAGCAGTCCTCCATTGGTTCAAAACTGAAGGCTTCCAGGGCTTATCTGAAATCTTTGTTTGACACAGGTTGTTCAAATGAGTCCTGTGCAGCCGCAAAAGTTGCCGCTGAAGGGTCAGTTTCAAAAGCGAAAGAAAGATTGGATAGATACATGAAATCAAGAAACAAAGATCCATTCGGGCAAATCCATCAGGACAAATATCAAATCTCAACTGCTGTAATGAGAAGTTTTGACGAAAAAAAGATTACTGAGAACAATGCCAATCGCCATAGGAGATCGTTTTCTCTGGCTATCAAACGACATTCAACAAACAAGTCTTCTTCCACTTCCTCATCATCTGGCTCTTCTTCATCTTCCTGCTCAAATGACTCGAATGGTTTTCAGTACTTGCAATTTCTTAAAAGAAGCAGCAGCGTGAATTTAGAGACTGAGAGTCCAATTCAGGGAGCAATTGCACATTGCAAGCAGTCTCAGCAGTTGATGAGGTCAAGAAAGACTGTTAGTTAAGTTGAGTTCTACTCATTGTCAGCTTCCTGTATTGCAGTTTGTGAAGATCAAGAGAGGCCAAACCTTTGCAGGGGCTGAAAAGAGAGATAGGGAGAACCATGATAGGATGTAGATTTTAGTTTTGTTTCTGATGCTTATCGATTTCCTCTTTTTTCTTGTTCTGTTTTTCCATCTCATAATTAATTTTGATGGGGGCTATGCTTTGAATCAGAACAAGATTTGAAAATTCTGAACAATGGTCTTGAACTGTTAGACCATAAAGTTTTATAGAAGTTTCCTAAAATGATAAGTGAATTCCTAGAAATTAACAATAAAAGTTTGCTTAATACAATCTCTCTTATTGCAAGTAGCCAGAGGTAACCTTTAAATAACAAAGAACTCACACCATCTCAATTCATATCTCTCATGGTTACGTCAAACTTGTGCAAGTAGCCATTTTTTATGATGAAATGAATCTATAGCCGGTCAATTCAAGACTCACTATTAGGATTAAGTAAGGACAACCATCCTTTTGCCATATTTGCTTCACTTTGCAGATTTGACATCTGAAAGTTTCAGTTAGAGAAAAAATTCAGTTTTCATAATGCAAAAACACAGGGAATTTGGTACATCATAATAAATCAAGATAACATCATTTTATTTATCTAATTTTCTTCAAAAATAATGCAATCCTATCAGATAACTTTTGCATTAGTTAAAAGTTATAAGTTCACTGTACAACTTTACAATCAGATAATACTATGCAAAATTTTAGGCTCTATTCACCTATATAATAAAAAGTAAAGCAGATTCTAGATTCAAACTGTTGAAAATGATAAATATTATCTTTTCAACCATTCATTTAACTGAAAGGTTCTATCTATCATAAGCTTCCATAAACGGACAAATTCAATAATGGTTATTAGTAAAAAGTCCTTTTTTTTTCTTTTTAAAAAAAAGAGAAAAACAGATAACAAAACATGGGTCCTGGATTTCAGGATGGATTTCAGATTGTTTCCATGTAAGTTCCCTGGGGCTAGTTTCACTGTCATTTTCAAAATTGTGACAAGAAAAGAAGGCAGAAAATAAATCTCCTCCCAATCACATTCAAAATGCCATAATTTTTCATATGCTTACTTGTAAGTTGTAAGGAGTAGAAAAATCTCAGTTCCCATCAACTATACTACAAGGCGCCATGGTTTGCCTGAAGTATATAATATTTCTAAGTAATCATAAATTAGGCAAAAGGTCAATATTATTTCAGTTCCAAACAATCATCATAGAAATAGAACAGAACTAATCATGTCGGTGACTGCAAAAACCTACCTGTTTCTGCCTCTTTAGAACAATTAAGAGACACCTGCCTGCATTAAAATATGTTGAAATTGCCTTGATCTAAATGAAAATTTGTTTTTCATTTAAAGGCCTAAAAACTGACATAAAATATATATGACAAAAGTTGGGATCAACACCATGTACACACTGATAAACTTTGCAATAACAACCCAACAAAGTTGAGAAAAGGAAGGACAATCAACAATATAAATATAAGTGAAAATCTTCAAGTGCAGGCAAACAGCCTTTTGAGGTGGGCTGCTTTTCTCTTCTATCCATTTTCATAGTGGGTCTACCAAACCTTAAACTAAGGAGAACATGTCAGCCAGACTTTTGACAGGATTTGAGCATAAGAATAAAAAAGGCTAATTTGATGTTGATCAGCACAAAGAGGTCTTTGATAAGCATGTAATAAGAAACTTTCTCCCACCCAACTTCCCTGAATGTCTCTAGGAGAAAGAAAGGAAAGACAGCAAATACAATTTGCTTGCTGCAATGCATAATTAGTCACATTGGGTTGTTTTGTTTGTCTATCACAATCAGCTTAATGATATAAAGTCATTTAATACCATAATTAAGAATTCTCATAGTTTTTTTTAATAATTCCAATGATATAAAGTCATTACAGCTTAAACCTGTAAAAAAAATACCACAGTAAATTGGGTTTTTTGCGGCTTTTTTTTTTTATATAATTTTTTACGTATATGACTCCGAAGATAGCATTGGGTGATATACATAGTTGTTTTCCAATGATAATTATTTACAAAAAATCAGGTTTAGAGATTTTACACTTGTCCAGAAGAAAAGAAAGACGAGCTCTTGGCAGGAAAAGACTCATTTCCTTGCCTCTAAAAGTTGATCAACTGCAAAATTTTGTCTGATTTGATTTTTTTTTTTTATATTAAAAATTTTCAACTTTGATGATTGATATTTTAAATATTTTATTAAATTAATGTTTTATAAAAATATGTTTAAAAATTTCTTCATTCAAAATTTTTTAGAATTAGTTTTTTTTTAGAATTAGTTAATAATATATTTAAAATAAAATAAGGTCAAACATGCAAATTTTTTTTTACTACTAAAATTTCAAAAAGAACAATATTTATATGAGACTTTGAATATGAAAAATAACAATTAATATATCCGATAATAATGTAATCTGTTAAGAAATTTGGCTGACTTGAGCTTCAGTCCAATTTATCATTGCGGTTATGTCTTTAATTTGAAATCAAACCCAGTCCAATCCTCAAACAAAAGAGTCTCTCTTTAGTTTATAGGTGAAGATAAATTTATAAGGAAAGAATCAAATTTAATTTTTTAAATTAAAAATAAATAAATAAATATACTAATTATTCAATCAAATGCGCGGATTTTATATAAACAAATACCTATAATAATACACGAATAAATGGTTCAGTGTGTTGCAATTATTTGCGTGTCTTAATCGTTCAAACTTGTCAACCAAAAGAAGATATTCTCTTTTCTTATCATATTTTTCAATCCCATTTCTCTTTAAATTTGTTTGGCAGGGAGCTCTCTTCACACGTGAAATAATGAATTTATCTGCTAACAAGTTGTTTACACAATTGATTAAAATTCTCCTCCTCAGACAAAAATGTTTTAAGTTCAAATTCTGTTTCAAATATACAATCTATCATCACTTATATTAAATTATCAATTACGATATATTTTCTTCTTACTTGAAAACTAAATAATCTTCTTACATCAAATTTTTATTAACCACAAAAAATAAATAATAATAATGTGTTTGCCTCTCGATGAACACAAGTGTTCTTGCCCTTCACAGGATACAAAAAATTCATATGAAAACCAAAAACACTGAAACAAATTTCAAAGGCTAGAATGACTATTCATACATTTCAAAGGCTAGGCTTTTAATAAAAGCTGATACTATTGAGTTAAAATATCACAATCGTATGAACCCATCAAACCGAGACTGATGCAGTTTTTTGAGCATTAGCTCCAGATGTCTTGAGTAATATTCAGGCTGATATTGTAGGCATGTGAAAACCATGAGCTCCATTTCTTGCATGAAAAGAATCACAAGCGTGGCCAAAAGCATAGCCATTTAGGTACATGATAACGTCTTAAAAACCAGAACTGATCATGCCTTTTGCCACCCTTGCTCTACCAATAAATGCACTAAACAAACTCAAAGGACATAAAACAAATTGCCAATTTCCTCATTCCTCTTTCTTCCTTAAACAAAAAAGCCTTCGAAGAACTAGTAGTAGTTCAAATTACTTGGTACCTTGCAAGCCATGGTCATGAAAGTAGATGTGCATTGTGCATATACCAACGACCGGGCAGAGGCCAAACAGGTATTATTTTTATTTAAATCCAATATATGGCATATTGGGATCTGTTTTGTAATTTTTAACATTCATCTCCACTTCCCCTGTTCCAGAGGTATCAGAGGGCATAAATCCTATCAACTTCAACTTCAGAATTAGTGAAGTCAGAATGATGCCAAGAGTTGGATCCACTCCTCCTTGAATTCTTACCCCTCTTCCTTCTAGTCCTCTTGGATTTCACCACATAATAAGTCATTGTGCCAAGAACCCCAGCCATTATCAGACCCCCTACAACTGTAACCAAAAGTGCTGCCCACTTATGTCTACGGCCCACCACAATATAAGAGGAGGCCATAAAAGCAACTGAAGTACAGACAGAAGCCAACCACATCAACTTGTTAATCACTTCCACTACCTGTTTCTCTGCTTTGGTTTCACCTCTAACCAATGTGATTTGAACAACGACAACAGCCAAAGAGGTGAAGAGAGCAATAGCATTGAAGATGAAGAAGATTTTGAAAGAACTAGAGCTTACTACCACAGCAACTCCACTATCTTCATCTCCTCCAGGCACAGTAAATATAGCTGCAAAAGCAACAGTTGCAAATAGAACAGCCACCACAGTCACAGAATTGGTGGCATTGTTGATTCCTTCTCGGTGAAGTTTTCTAAGTTCCTTTGAAATATTATGAACATTTTTGTTGGTTCGTTTGGTTTGTTCAAGCTGTGTGTGGACATCTTTCTTAATTTGGGTCACTGCATGCCTCAATTCATCTCTTGGTTGATTCAGTTCATTAGCTCTGAGAGCACCATAGCGAGAAAGGCAACTCTTTATATCTGAGGATTCTGCAGAGAGGGGAAGCCCCTCGGCTATGTCAAGGGCTGTTTTATGGTCTCTGGTGAGTGCATTGACATTTGTATCAGGAAGGGACAACAACTCGTTCACTATCTGCAAGGAAATGGGAAGATTCACTACTATGAAACTGTAAGGAATGACACTAACTATAGGAGATTACTGGTACATGTAAAAATGATCGTGTAATATATAAACAGTCATAGGAGGAGGAGCCAATAGATGGATAATAATAGAGAAAGCTTAGCTTACGAAATCATACAGTCAGGTAACACAACAGTAACACATAGAGTGATTTTAAATTAGTATCAAAATAAACCTTCTACAAACCATTTACTAAATAAATCAATATTTGGAACTGAAAATTTGAGTTGAATACATAAATACATGACAACCTTATCTCTCTCTACATTTAGTTTTGTCTTTATAACATTGCATACATGCTAGTAAAACCATTTATAGGATGCTGCTGCTGCAAAAACTGTGGAAGGGTCTTAATGAACATAAACTTGCATTGCAATACAATCTGCCACTGACCATTTAAACTATTCATAAAATATTGAAATTTTCATAAATTTTATAACAATAAAAAGTATGCAGCATCAATGAAAAATGTGCTTCTACCTCTATAGCAAGAAATGAAAAGGGAGTGGGAGAACAGTTGTACCTCTGTTCTCTTTTTCCTAGTGGCTACATGTAATGCTGTATTACCAAACTTGTCTGGAAGCATTACAATAGCAGCATCTGCCTCCAGAAGCAACTTCACCACCTCACAACTCTGTCCTTTAACAGCCATGTGCAATGCGGTCTGCCCTTTCTTGTCAGTTCTTCTTGCCAATTGGGGATCTTTGCTAAGCAAAGCTTTTACAACATCTACATGCCCCCGTCGAGCAGTTAGATGCAATGCATTTTTCCCATTTGATCTGGTACTCTCTAGCAAGCTTCCATCCCTTGACAGCAGCTCATTGACTACTGCCGTATACCCTTTAGTGGCTGCAGAGACAAGAGGGGTTGCATTTGATGGCCCAAATGTTTGGCATAGACCAGGGTCATGATCTAGCAGCACTTGGACAATTGCTGCAAGGAAAGAACCAGGGTCACTGTTCCAGCCTAGCATCTATAAAACACAACTGAAAAAGGACCATAAATTACACAACTGGCCTGTAGAAAAGCAAACTAATAATGAGGAATTTATTTCTTCACTATCTAATCCATATTACACAAAACAGAATGATGAAAGTTAGTTCTGAAGTTGAAAGAGGAAGATGCCTAGTCAATCTGCTTACTCAACTAATCACATAGCACAAGGCAATAACCCTTTCATTAGTATAATGATATTGAATTTGTTGTCTTCATATTGTAAAGAAACAAATCAAAAACCTAATTAGGTTTGTATGTCCATCATAATCAACCTACAAGTTAATAATCATAACAAGCTGTTTAAAGTATATAAAATAAATGCCACAATAAGATAAATAGTGTAAGGTGGTAGACTGTTCCCAGAGGAAGTTATAAATGGTAAGGCACAAATATTACGCCCCTAAACATTTTGCAAGCATTTTCATAATCAATAATATTACTGTTATATTGAAATTATGTTGTTCCGAAAGTACTATAAGCCAGCAATTGTCAACTAAAAAACCTACATAGTTCAGGAGAACATATATAGCCCTATGCTTTTAACAACTTCTATTCCCAAATAACCATAACATTTTTTTTTTACTATTGCTAACAAAAAACTTGTTAAAAGAAACTGAATTTAGTATGATATACATTGTAGATGACATTAATCAAAGGCAGTGTAGAAAAAGTAGTTCATTTCTTTGGGTTCTAAATTTTCCCCTCCCTTCTTCCTACATTTTCCATGCCATCAGACATAGCTTAATTGTCAAAATTATTCAGCAGTTTTGACACCCGCTTGAACCAGTACTTTTACTTATCGTCATCTTTGCAAGAACTGAGATCAGAACTGCTCATATACAATTAAAGAACTCAGCCAACCAATTGAAATCAAACAACACAACAACAAAATTACACACCCAAAAGGACAAGATCATTACCATGGTGCCCTTCACTCGCAGAAATATGCAAGGGATCAAACCCGGATTTATTCTTCTTAGTAATGGTCTCTTTATTTGAGTATTTTAGCAATTCCTTGACAACATCAAGATGCCCTTTCTCTGCAGCTGTAAACAAGGCTGTTTCCCCCAACTCATTCACCTCATTCACAACACTTGCCTGTATCTCCAAGACCTCCATATTAAAATCTTCCCCACTTGCAGTCTTCATCATCTGTGAATCAATGTCAGCGAGAATCTGCTTTACAGCCGATAGATCACCACGCTGTGCTGCCAAGTGCAGCTCAGTGTCATTATGGCGTCCTGTTACCTGCTTCACATATTTCTTTTTGCTTGCCTGATCAATGCGCTTGCCAGAATTTGATAGGACCAGAGCTGGGGCTGTTGCTGTAGACGTTGGTGATGGTGTTGTTGAGGGTTCTGCAGTACCAGAACTGAAACTGGTGAGACTACTGGACATTCTGTCAATCCGCTTGCCAGAATTGGATAGGACCAGAGCTGGGGCCACTGCTGTAGAGGAGGGTGATGGTGTTGCTGAGTGTTCAGTGATACCGGAACTGGAACCGGTGAGGCTACTGCCCATCCTATCAATATGCTTGCCAGGATTCGATAGGATCAGGGCTGAGGCTGTTGCTTTTGAGGATGGAGATGGTGTTGGTGATGCTTCCACGAGGGAATTCTGACTCAGCTGTGAAGCCATTAGTCCTTTCTCCAAATCCCTCTCTCCACCTAAACAACCAATCATTAATCAAAATAATTATTAAACTAATCCCAATTTTGTTTCATAATCCTTCATAGAAATGATACAACTAACCCCCAGAAACTGAGCAGGTAAGAAAAAAGTTTCTTTTTTCAGCACCTATCAATGAATCAATCACAAAAGTGATGCCACCTTCCGTTGCTTCAACTTAATTCTCAATTTCAAACTAAAACTACTGTAAAATTACACACACAAAAAAAAAAAAAACTACTTCCCATCAAAATGCCATATCTTTTTTCCATTCAATTAAGCTCTAATGGATCAAGATATAAACTTAATAGCTAGTCTAAATTCTTTAAGGTCCATAATACTCAATATTCTTTAAGACAGTAATGTCAAGCTAAAATCCAATTAAAAATAGAAAAAAAACATATTTTTTCCCCTGAATTATGCTAATTTCCTAGTTTTAAAAATATCCCATTAAGTATTTTGAAGAAAGAATGAATACCCAGAATCAAAAAGTGAACTTTTAAGCTAGGATTAGGAACAACCTTTACAACCAAAAAAAATGTGATGAACAAATAAAGATATATGATGATGAAAATTTAGAGATGGGTCAAAGTAGAGTCAACAGTATTACCTTCTTTGATTGGAGATGAGGCCATGGTTGAAGAAGAAGAGAGAAGCAAAACTGAGAAGAAAAAAATGGAGAGAAGAAGTGATGGGAAATTACTAATTTATCAAAAGGAAAGAGAAAAAGGACATCAGAAAAGTGAAGTTTCAGAGAAAAGAGTAAGAATGCAAAAGACGTAGGTTGGCTGAGGAAGGTGCTTGGAAATATCTTTGGCTTTTTTCTTTTTTCTTTTGATAAAAAAAAATTAATAATTCGCGTTGGATTGGTTATGCTTGATTTCCATGTCAGGAATCAGCACTGGCTGTCTGGCTCGCACTACGTTTTGAGCCTGCGGACCTAAAAAGAAGGAAATTTTTAAAAAAAAAGGTCATCATCTAAGGAAAAAGTAAGATTTACTGTGTATGAATTTGTTTTAATTTTATATTAAACTTAATTAATTATGTTTTGATTTATTGATTAATTTATTTATTTGATTATTGAATGATTTATTATACATGAGTTTATTAGGATTATAATTAAATTTGATAAATTTAAATACCGATGTATATAAAAATGATATAAAAAAAATTGTATATATATTTAAAAAAACATATTTTATGTTTAGTATATTGATATAAAATAATTTAGTATCACATACATATTAACACATCTCAATACGTGATATAAGATAAATAATACGTTTAATTTAATTTTATTATCGAGTATCATTTAACATGTTTAATATATTTATCGTATTTTTATATTTATTTTAATTTAATATAAATATATAAATATTATTTAAATGTTTTATATTTTCATTATGATGTTTAATTAGCTATTTAATATCATATAAAAATTATTTTAAACATTTAATTATAATATTTATTTAATAATTATTATAAAATTATTTTTATATTAATAATATAAATATAATTAATAATATTACTATACATTATTTTATGCTTTAATTTTTTATATTTTATTGTTTTGAATTTGATGTTAAAAATTAATATAGTCATGTAATATAAATTAAAATTTTAAAAAATATATATGTATTAAATATATATTAAATAAGTATTAATTTTTTTTTATTTTTTAATATATAAGTATTTTTTATATTATTAATATATCAAAATTATTAAGTTATAAATGATGAATAGTTTATAATTATTTATTATTTTAGTTGTGTTATTTTATATATATTCATATTAGTCGTGTTTATTCATGTATATCCGTATTTAATTGTATCTATTCGTGTATATCCATATTATTTATATTTATTTGTGTTATGTTTAAATTAATTAATTATATACATGTTAATCATGTCATGTAGTGTATAATATGTATATTAAACGTATTATATTCGTGTTTAAGATTTAAATATATTTTATAATTAATGTCGTATTCACGTTTTAATAATTTATGTCATTACACATGTCAAAGCATAAATTGTCAAGTCTAATTGTAACATAAATTTATAATTTAAAAATATACTATTCTTTTAATTGATTTTGTTAATAGAATATATTTGTTTGATATTTTTTAGTATGTGATTAATCAAACACATTAACCATCATTAAAATTTTAACAAATTATAACTTTATTATATATGAGAAAATTCAATTAAAATAGCATTTTTTAAAAATGGTGTTATCATCTGATTTTTTTTTCTTTTTTGTTTTCTTAAAATTTTAAAAAAGTGTGATTAGTATATTTGTATTTATTGAATCTTGTGTACAGTAAAATTATTTAATATAAATAAAAATATTCCTCTGTTTCAAAATATTTCTCATGTATTAACTTTTACAAATTTTTTTTTAAAATTGACTTTAATGAATTTAATATTAAATTTTAAATTTTTTTATAAAATCAAATTTTCATAATTTTAAATGTAAAAAACTTAAAATAATTTTAAAATATAAAAAAGTAAGAGTTTTAGATGTTAAAAAAAAAAGACATAATTTTAGAATATCCTAAAAAAGAAAAATAGATAAAGAAAATGAGACAAAGAGAGTATCATTTTTGTTCACGACAAATAAGACTAATTTAATTTCAATAGTAAGTGATTTTAAATTTAAATTATCGTGATTTTCATATTAATGTTAATTTTGAATGGATATTCATTATAATGTAGACATATTGTATCTTATACTTGAGACTAGTTAGCGAACTACTCACTTTCAATTCTTATGTTAATGAGAAAAAAAAAAGTTGATATATCTTAGGTTTAAGCAAAAAGAAGGCTTTTATGAAATTTGAAGAATTAAAATAATTGTTAAATTTTATAAGATAAAATACTTCACAATTGAAAATGATTTATTCTTTTGAAAGCATGTGATTAGTATATTTGTATTTATTGAATATTGTGTACAATAAAATCATTTAATATAAATAAAAATATTTTACTATCCCAAAATGTTTGTCATGTATTAATTTTTATAAATTTTTTAAAAAATTTTGACTTTAATGTATTTAATATTAAAATTTATTTTTTCTTTATCTTAAGAATTTTTTTTTTAACAATGATATGATGCGTCTAAAATTTTTATTTTTAAAATATTTTTCATAAAAATGGATCTTGATAAATAAAGAGAGATTCTTTTTTTTTTTTTAACCAACTCCACTAATTCTTATGAATAAAATATTTTACCATTAAAATGATACTCCTTTTCTTTCAAAATGTTTGGATACATTGATTTTTACGAAATTTAAGAAAAATATTTTAATTTTAATATATTTAATTTTAAAATTAAATTTTTTTATAAAATTAAAATTTCATAAATTTTAATATTAAAAAGTAAAAAAAATTAAAAAAATTTTAAAATATAAAAAGTAAAAATTTTAAATATTAAAAAAATATAATTTTAAAATATGAAAAAAAAATATGAAAAAAAAAAAAGAAAAACAAAAGGAGAACAAAATATAAATTTTGTTAATATTTAGGAGTTTCTGGATAAGAGGAGGAGGAGAAATGAGAAATTATGGAGTCAATTATTGTCCAAGACTGTGCAAAAGTTAAATCTTTGCGGCACTTTCAATACACCCCAGCTAGGCAAAGACATGAAAATTTTGGTTTTCCAATTTTACTTTTTTTTTTTTTTTTTGCCTTTCCCTTTTGTCATCTTTCCTCTTTGTCCCTCACTATCATTTCCAAGTATACCCATGCCAAAATGGAAGGAACAGTATTGTGGGCCACAAGGTTTCTGCCCGCTCTAACCCAGCAGTTACTCCTTTGGTCTTTCATTTTTTTTTTTTAGCAAATCATTCATTTTGGCTTTGATTGTACGACTCTTTCTTAACATTAATAGGCATATCAAATGGACCGAGTGACCCATTAGACCATGGGCTTGATCCAATTTAAGTTAAAATTTTGGTAAATTTTTTTTAGTTCATTTTATTTTATTAATAAAAACTTTACTTTTATCTAATTTTAATTTTACAATATTGAAATATTAATACAAAATAGGGTAATGCCACGTTTTCATTTGTAAAAGACGAAAGAATAGTTCCCTCTCTGTGCTTACTGTACCGCACTACTCCGTGTTTTTGACCAGCGCAAGGGCTCACTTTGAGTAGAAAAGTGTGGGGCTTATTTCTTGCAGCTAGTATCAATGCGGGACTTGAAATCAAATTACCAACAGGCAAGAGTCAATTGTCTACAGTGTCTTTTAGTTGATGCTGCCATAAATGTTCATCCGTAAATTGGAAAACTACACTTTTCAACAATGTTGTCAGCGACTGCTCATTTTCTTTCAAGTATTCATATGTATTCGTATCGCGCGAGCTGCTCAATTCAATATATTATAGGTTGAAGGCTTTATTTAGGCTCCATTTGAACAGGTGACAGATAAAATTAAAAAAAATAATAATAATTATAATTATAATTGAAAAATTTTTTAATAAAAATTTTATGTTGAATGAATTTTATTATTAATATTTAAATTTAACTTATGATATAATAAACTTAATTATATCATACAAAAAATATAATGAAATCTAAACTTAACCTAAGTTGATTGATAATTTATGTTTCAAATGACAAGTTCTTAAAGCATAACCTTAGAAGCTGTACAATTTTGAAAGGGCAAAGACCCAAGTGTTATTTCTTTAAATGTTAGGATGGCCTGGCCTTGCAATAGTATAGTACAGCATCTTTTCCTAAGGCCAACCATGCATGCGGGTCACATCACTTAAACAAAGTTAATATCTCAAAGTTTGAAAAACTAGTTTGGGTTTTTTTCCTATATATATATATATATAATTACCCTAAAAAATTCTACTCGTGATCATACATTAATCAGTTTAGAATCATTAAGAGAGAATTACTGTAATAATTTCTCTTCTGTCTTAGGTTGAAGTAGGTAGCTAGGATCATATCCTCCTAAGGGGCACTTGACACAACTAAGATGAGGTTTCGCTTTCTCTGGAGTAGATGCGTCATGTCTAGGCTTGGACTGCTATTGTTTACTCCTTGCAATGATTTAAATTAGATTAACCTTTAGTTCTTGCCGATTGGTACATTTCAGTTGGTACAGTGGCCAATTTAAATTTATTGACACTGCAAATTTGAGCTCCTGGGTAGGTGGTTCAATTTAATGTTAAGGATTTATTGTGCATCAGAGGAAGTACTCTCACTGATAAATATAGAATTCTGGTATAGTGGATGGGATGGTGCTGAACCATAAAGCCGGAGGAGGAAAGTTCAAGTGGCCAACATGAATCAAGATTTTCCTGTCTTTTTTCTGTGACAAGAGTATAACCGTTAATGCTTGTTACTATTCTTATTTTTTTCTTTCTATGTTTCTGCTTTTCTGCACGCGATATATGTGGTTGTAAGAAGAAATCTTCAGACAGAATGTTTTTGAAGAACTTTCTTTTTTTTTTTTTACTTTTTTTTTTCTGGAATACAAAAGATGATCAGGAAACTGCTATTTGAAATGAATACAGAAACTTTATGATAGCAGTAAAGTAGAAAATGTGAAATGGATTTTATTAACGGCAGCATCTTTCACACTCTTGTTATGGTTTTGAAATAATGGCAACTTCCTGAAGAGCAAAACGTAATGCAACAAATGAATGATCAGGAAATGCAGGGAAAAGACTGATATCTATATTTCTAGTTTATCCTAACAAAGTTTAGACACTCATCATTGATCCAGCTATACTTCTCAGTATAAGGGTTTACCAGGTTTTTCCTGGGGATGGGGTAACGATCTAAAGAGTCTTCCCATACATTAGCATCTTCCAAGTCCTTCATTGCCTCCCACACACAGTTGTTGCACATGAAACCTGCTCCAAGGCTGATCATCAGAATCCTGTCACCCTTCTTGAGCCTCTTCATGGCTTCCATATAACCTAAAACATACCACAGGCCACCGGCTGATGTATTTCCAAAGCGGTGAAGTGCCATTCTAGCCGGCTCAAGATCATATTCACTGAGCCCTAAACTCTTTCCAAGACCATCAATGACTGCCCTTCCACCTGGGTGAATACAGAAATGCTCAATACCAGTCTTAAGATTCAAACTTGCCCTTGCTGATTCAGGCGTTGAGCTTTTGCTCTTACTTTTACAGAGAGATACTACTGCAAACCGAAGTAGTTCTCGTATTGGTAAGATTTTTGGTACTAGAACTTTAAGATTCATGGTAAAAGCTTTAGCAGCAGCTTTTGTCAGGCTTCTTGTGAGAAGAAAACCCTCGTACCCTTGCTCATCTTCTATTTGTATGCAGCATCCATATGCTTCATCATTTGAGCCAATATTGGTTCGTACTGAATGGTTTAGTTTCATCAAAGCTTGATGCTTCAGAGATCTTTTGTTTGTCAGGAGCACCGAACACCCTCCAGATCGAAACAGGCAGTTAGACAGCATCATGGAATTTTCTTTGCCACAATACCAATGTGGACCTATTGCTTCTGTACTCACAACAACTGCAAATACATTCTTGTATGTCTCGAACAAGTGCTGCACCAGATCAACGGCTACCATGCTTGCACTACATCCCATTCCGGACAGGCTGAAGGCTTTAATATTATCCCTCATCTTGTATTGGTTTATAATTCGAGCTGTTAAGGAAGGCGCTGGAGAAAACAACGACACATCAACAACGAGTATATCTATCTCGGATGGAGAAACTCCAGTCTTAGCGAAGAGCTTGTCTAGTGTGTCAAACATAATCTCATCCATCTCTGAGTGTGCATCCTCTAGAGTGGGAGTTTCTTCTCTGCCAGCAAGGACATTTCTTGGGCCATAAGTTTCTTCACCAAGACCTGAATTCACCATGGTCTGTAACAGAAACCTGTATTGCTCTATACCAAGATTCTTGTTCCTCAGAACAACTCTTACAGAGGCTTCAGTATCAAGCTTTCTGTCGTCAGTCGCCTTGTAACACTCATACGCTAACATATAGCAGCATCGGTTTCTCTTTTGAAAAAACCTCTTGTACAAGTATGAGATTATACAGAAAACAAATAGCAGACATGTTATGGAGAGCTCCATTGAGTGAGGAAAATATTCAGCGATCGAGCTGTGCATGTGGAAGTCATACATGTCTATTTATATTACCCTTAATTTTCTTACTTCTTCCATGCAATTTGCACTCTTAAACCAGATTGTGGATCTTAAAAATTTTGTTAAGAATCAACATTTAAAAGCAATAACATTCTCAACAACCCGATCTATTGGTACAGCGGCAACTTGTTAGAAGGCCAGAGCTCAAAATTTGAAAGGTAGGTGAAAACTTTGATGAGCATCCTTTTCTTTTTCTTTTTCCTGGGAAAAGGGGAGATTAAACATTAAATATAAAGAGTATTATAATTGCAGGTCACATGCAGTATCTTGTCTTATGAGACCATGACCATAAGAGTAAAGAGTATAAAAACCATTAATATAATAAATAAATTTTTATAATTATATAATAAATCAATTGATAAATAAATAACTAAAAAATTGAATAAATACATAAATATATAATAAATTCTATAAGCAAATAAATTTTTAATAAATGAAAAAAATAAATGTCTTATTTGTAATTGATATGAGTTAACTAAAATAGATAATTACATAAATAAAAAATAAACATTAGTTATTTTTAGTATGAGTAAATATATGACTATTTTTTTTAAATAATCATTATTTTGATATAAAAATTAACATATAAATAAATAAGTACAAAAAAAATTGAAGATACATTGTTTAGTTTCAATTAAATACATTATTTTCAAATTTTAAAATAATCTATTTAATATATTACTACTATATTTATTAATCATTATAAGCAGACCTTAACCTAATTTCCTTAATAATCGTTTTCTTTTTTTATTACATTTTACCTCATTTTCACTTTATTTTGTCATCCAAATGCATATTTTATCACTGATTTTAATTTACTATTATAGTAACTAACATCCATAGAAAAGCCAATATCATCATCCATTCAAATAAACCATATATTTGATAAATGCTCTTATTTTTTTTATTTTGTTTATTTATTGATTTTCAAGTTTTATTTATTTATTCATTTTTAGAAAATAAATAAAAAAATAAAAATAAAAACAATTATCAATCAAAGCCTAAATAAAGTACTCGGTTTTAAGAATTAAGGTATAATTTTAGATAAAATCATCAATAAATAATCAATGCAATTACTTGCATGATATGATCCACAGCTCCACATATTACATTTAGTGTAATATTTTTGCTCAAACTATGTTTTTTTTTTTAAATAATATTTTTTAAAAAAATTCAACAAGTAACAATACATTTCCCGGAATTTAACTCTAGGGATTTAAACTTTTACCATTAATTTCTTCTTTTAATTATTTGGCACATACATATAAAATTTAAGTTATGCGAGGAAAACCAACTTTCTTGCATTTCATTAAATGTCATTGGAATCTTCATTTTGACCCGTTCAAAGATTTGAAGTCGAAATGAGTTGAAAACGAGTTGTGATATCGGAAATAAACCCTTGTTAGATGGTGACCTGGTAAAGCCATTAATTTCCTCATGGCAGACATATCATTCCCAGTTGCAAATTGCTTAATTTTTTTAAGAAAAAAAATCATCCCACACTAATTATCATGCAGGTATCTAACTTATTGTTAAAAAATATTTTTTAAAAAATTTCAGTTTACTTTTAACCTCTATGTTTATATTTATTTAACTGAAAAAATAATAAATTGATGATAAAACGACAAATGACATATTTGTCACGTCATTGTAAAATACACAAGTGGCAAAACGTGGTTACCAGATGGACGAGATCAAAGGGTAGAGATTAAAGGTAAGTGAAAATGCGATTATTTGTAATTGGAATATGAAGGAGGAAGACGACATGATGTTGATGGTATTCAAATCAAACCCAATTCAAAGCATATTTGGTTTGATAGGTGTAGTTTCAAAGATTATTATGATGGGTTGATTGATCGATAAGTTTGCTCGTTTTGAGGTAAACAGTTTTTGATTGAATCTGAGTGGTAGACCTTTTGTTGATACAATGCGTTATGTCCTTAACAGTCTTGTCCTGTTAAAGGACACAGGCGAAATGAAGGATTGTACATGAGGCTGCTGGATAAGTGATTTACAGTCATAAATGAAATTAGCTGTAAGGATTTCTCATTGACCGTAAAAGGCCCTTCATTAAATGTGACCAGTAATAAGAGTGCCGAACTGGAGGCTGCCATTTAAATCTCCATTACCGACACTTGAATTTTGCCGGTATTGTTTGGGTGGGCATGTTGACACCTCGATCAAGCGTTCATGCTCTACCAAGAACACTTACATTTCCATTAAAAACTTCGATGAAGGTCTAAGCATTCCTCCAAAGACAATATAAAACCGATCTGAATCAAAGGGTTGCTGTCCAACCCCAGGCCAGCTCGCAACTGGAAATGTATGACCTTGACCAACAAAGATCCAAAGCTGCCCTTGCCAGCATGACATTGTTAAATCTTGGAGAAGAAACATTATCTTGACAATAACAGGAAGCATCCTGGATTGTTTTGTTTGTTTAATTCATTTTATCCAACCTACAGAAGAAATTATCTGAAACCAACAAATTTCAATCCTTGAACAGGCAAGAGGCAAAAGGGTTTCAAAGAATAAACAAGAGGAAAATAGTACAGATACACATATATCAAACTAAATTTCATTCCTTACCCCATCCTACCAATCATCACCTCATCAACAAATGCAAAAATCCTTCATTTAATTACCACATCCATCAAAAAGATCAGCATCTTGGTTTCACAAACATAAAAATTGAACAAAATCACAACTCAGGTTTCACAAATATGACACTAGTAAGTATGGGCAAATGGAATTGAAAATCAAACCCTATCTAAAAGATCCTACCCTACACCTTAATGGCATACTTCCTCATTGGGAAGTACATTTCCGTCTTCTTCTCGCGTTCAGTCTTCAATGATGCCTAGCAAGCAAAACAACTGATCTTCAGGTACAACACAACAAGCTATAATACATGAACTAAACCAACTACAAGTTCAAAGCAGAATATGTATTGATGGTCCCAACAACCAAGGCATTAAAATGCTTCAAATGAAATAAAAGTTGTACAAGAGAACTAATATCCTAATCAGGGGCTACACAGCATTCACTGGGCCAATCATCCTTAGAATTTGGAAATTTTAAAGCTCCTACTTACATTAAAGAAGTAACATCTACTCAATTAGTCTTGAAAACATATGTCATTCAAAGTTCTATGCATTCAAGAAGATGGATAAAAGCAGCAAGTCAGCCGAAATGGTGTGATTTTAGGGTTAACTTGCCCAACAAAAGCTAAAGAAAGTATTCAACATCATCAAAAAGGATGTCAGTACCTGGTGATTGGTGAGCCTTCTCCTGATGGCTCTAGTCTTCTTGGGACGCAGATCGAGGGGTAAGAACTTCTTCTTCTTATATGCCTCCCTCAATGCAGCCTTCTGCTTCTGTGAGATTACTGTCAACACCTGAGCAATTGACAGCCTCACCACTTTTCTGCATCCATAAAAAAACACCAGATTCAGAAAAATCCAAAACCAACGAATCCAGAACCAGAAAATAAAAAAAACGCATCAACAAGACCTAATATATTCAACTAACAATGAAATCCATATAAAAAGCACTCCAAAATGTAAATTTGCAAACCCACATATGCATGCCTTAACTAGCTCTTAAAAAGCTTAACTTGCTCATCAAAGTATTTCAAGTTCACTTTCATTACTTTCTTTTTACTTCTCAAAAAGTAACTGAATGAATGAATTTGAGGAAAAAAGAGCATATAGCGAAAATAAACATCAATTCAAACATAAGTTTTTCATACAAAAGTAAAATCATGTAGCTTGTTAACTTCGTATTCTTCAAAACTATTAGCATTTGAAATTTTATTCATCAAAACGCATTTTAACAATTATATCAGAAGAAATATTTCATATCAGCCATTTATTCATTCTTTTTGCAAGTAATAAGAGCAACAATCAAACAAACAAAATCCTAGTTAAAATATATAAATATCCTTATCTCCAAAAAAAAAAAAAAAAACTAAGAAATCAAATTCCATTTCATAAAGCCAATTAAACATAAACTTAAGATCCATAGATACAAATCAGAAATAAAAAAAAAAAAAAGAAGAAAGAAAGAGAGTTACATCTTAGAAAGCTTGTTAGGTGCACCACCGGTAACTTTAGCAACGCGAAGAAGAGCAAGTTCAGCTTTGAGATCTTTCAACTGAGCTAAAAGGTCAGTTTTTGATTTCTGTCTCAACTCATGGACCTTGATTCTCGCTGTTTTTTGTGTGTGATTTATTTACAAAAAAAAACAGGAAACCAAAATTTGTTTTAAAAAATGAAAAACCCATGTTCAGTTTTCTTAAAAATAAAGGGAATATGTAAGAAAAATATAGGCATTTTTAAGGTTTTTGATCAATTACCCATTGCTTCTTTTGCTGTTCTTCGGCTGGGACTGCAACGCCGGCTTCTCCCTGTTTTTCTATAAATAAATGAAACCCTAAAATTAAAGAAGTAAGGCGTTTTATGTATGCAATTTACTTGGGCTCAATCTGGTGTTAAATTATGGAGTTAAAATTGGGTTGTTCTATTGGGCCTAATCATATAGAATCAGAAACCCAAATTTCCAACCATATACTTGATTTAAAATTACATTTTTAAATGTAAAATGATACTGATATAAGCTTACATCAGAAATAGAAATAATAGTACATAAGAGTTTATGAACGATTAATCCTTGAGTTGTTTTCATAAGGATGGATCGGTCTCATCAAATTTCTATATAAATTTATTTTTTTACAAGTGACCGTCATATTAATGTTGAAATTTATACACCTATATATTTTCTCGTGTTAAAAGAAAAGAAAATGTCAACGTAAACTCAAATTTGGTCCCAAAAAATAATTATAAATAAACTTAATTTAAGAAGTAATTCTTGCAATTAAAATTACTAATTAACTATTATAATATAAATATACAAGTCGGCTAAGTCAAGTAGCAATGTAAATTGGAAAGGCATAACCCAAGCAAGACAATCGACAATTTAGAGAAAAAAAAAAAAAACCAAAATAAAAGGTGGAGGCTTGAATGATCTTTCATCATCTTCTTTGACACTTTCTTTTAAATATTATACAGTTATGTTCTTGATTACATTTTAAGTTAATATTTGGTACGTTGACAATATATAAATATTATATATTATCAATCAATCATATGATGACACTTAAAAATAAATATTTAAAGATAAATATTAATAAAAATTTATATTAAAAGATTTGATTACTTTTTATTTTTTTACTTATAAAGTGTCACTATTTGGTTAACAGATACTGTATAATAATTATATACTATTAGTACATTAAATATTAACTTTTATATTTTCTTATAAAAACACTATTTTTATAAAGATTAACAATCTTTGAACCACCTAGATAATTCAAACAGGTTGAAGCTAGGTTCACATACCTCTCTTTGCCATGATAACTTGTTTTTCTATATATAGACATATCTAAAAGGTAAGTTGAGATCATAAAAGTTTAAGTACTTGAATCTTCTCTTTATTCCATTTTTTAGTTCCAAATTGTGTGTGTGTGTTTTTTTTTTATTTCTTTCATGTTCAGTGTCAAAACTATTTAATCATTCCCAGGATTAGATTTCAAGATTTTACCAATTAATTGAGTTGGCATTCTTTGTGACTACATAGTTTATCCAATTCATTGCACCACTCTTAACAAATCTGTGGTTCGGACTTCCAGTTTTCCTTCCTCTTCTATATAAATTCAAGTTTTTTCACAAATTAAACCTTAAGAGCAATTGTTTAAGTTTCTATCCCACACCTTCCCCAAACACAAATTCGTTTGTCGTCTTCATGGCATTGGTATGTTTTTTCATATTAATTTGTTTTATCTACAAACATGCACGTACAAACAAATACAGAATCAAAAGATTTTTTTTTTTCTTTTGGCTTTTGTTCCTAACATGTTTGTTTTTTTTAAATCTTTTCTACTTGATGTTTATAGGTGCTCGCAAATGAAAATATTAATTATGAAGAGGTGAGCTAGCATGTAACTAGTTTAAATTTTAGTTCACAGAAATTATTTGTTTCTTTTTCATTATTGGATTATGATTATGATATCTTTTTTTTTTTTGGGTTAATTTTGATATCATTTTTGCAGTCGTTCATCACAACTTCTCAAGGATTAAAACTTTTCAGTTGCAAATGGATTCCGATGAACAAAGAACCGAAAGCTTTGATCTTCATTTGCCATGGATATGCCATGGAGTGCAGTATCACCATGAGCAGTAACCATTATTAATTCCAAAAACTTAGAATCTTCAATTTAGGCATCAAAATCCAAAAGCTAAAACTATGAAATCAAAGCTGACAATTTAGTTTTTGTGATTAAATATAGGCACTGCAATTAGGCTTGTGACAGAAGGATTTGCAGTTTATGGCATAGATTACCAAGGCCATGGAAAATCAACTGGATTGGTTGCTTATATAGAAAACTTTGATGATATTGTCAATGATTGCAATGATTATTTCACAAGTGTATGTGGTGTGTCTACATTTTTTTTACCCTATAATTCCGTTAATTTGGTGATCAAATTCAATAAAATTCACTTTTTCAATTCCTCTTTTTCATGCAAAAGTTACAGTTATTTGAGATTATATATATATATATATATATATTTATTTGAATCTTTTATGTTCAGAGAAGGAAGAGAATAGAGGGAAGATGAGATATTTGTTAGGGGAATCCATGGGAGGAGCCGTGGCTCTTTTGCTACACAGAAAGATGCCAGACTTTTGGACGGGTTCCATCTTGGTTGCACCCATGTGTAAGGTGTGTGTTTTTGATAGTTTGACTCGTTAATTACCAATTTGTTATATCTTTCTTTGTCCTTGTTTTATGCTCTTAATTAGAGAAGGGAGTTAAGCATGTTTGTTATGGCCATCCTACAAATTTGGATCTTGTGCATGTAAAATTTTTTTTTTTTTCAACGGCGGTTTATGCATGTTTTAAAATTTTTAACGTAAATATCAACTATCATGTGAGTAATCAAGTATAACATACGTGCAGATAAACAAATAAGACTGATTTACATTGAAAATTAATTTAGAAAAAGTGGTTCTTGAAAATATAGGGGAGATAAGAGGATTTAACTTTGAGAGTTTGTTGTTAACATTTCTGAAATGAGTATCTGAATTAGATTTTATCTCATATAGAGTGAATAACAAGTGACATGCAATATATATTCTAAACTTAACATCTGCAAAGCCAGAGAAATATGGATTCTAATAATAATAATAATAATAATAATAATGTTGGATTTTGCATTATAATTTTAGTACATTAATGAAATTACAAGAGGGGTAAGGGTTATAATGTTATTACGTACAAAAAATTTTTCATCAAAAAAAGGATTATTATAATTTGACGTAGATTTTTTTAAAATTTTTGATTAATTATTTATTATTTATAACAGATTGCAGATGACATGAAGCCACCTGCACCAGTTACTTTTATTCTCAAAGGGATTGCCTGGTTGGTTCCAACTTGGAAATCATTGATAAAAAAAGACATTGTTCAAATTGCATTTAAAGAGCCTGAAATAAGACAAGAGGTAAATATATATATATATATATATTTATATATATTTTCTAAAATAAAGATCAAAGTTAAATTTTACTAGCTAGGGTATTTGATAATTCAGGTATTGATATATGAATTTTCCTTTGTAAACAGATTAGAAAGAACCCATATTGCTACAAAGGCCCACCTCGACTGAAAACCGCCAGTGAGCTTTTGCGGGTTAGCTTGGATATTGAGCAAACACTAAATGAGGTTTGTTATTCTATTAACTACTTATTCTCTTTTCCCTTTATTTTTTTCATTTTAACAATTTTATTTTCAGAAAAATGAAAACAAAATTTGCAAATGAAATTCATGAAATTTTGGATTAAAAGTGGTTGTTTTTTTTTTTTTTTGTCAATTGTAATTAGGTTACACTTCCATTTATAGTTCTCCATGGCGAAGATGATAAAGTGACTGATCCACAAGTAAGCAAACAACTTTTCAATGCAGCTTCAAGCAAAGACAAGACCCTAAAGCTGTACCCTGGAATGTGGCATGGTCTGCTCTATGGAGAACCATTAGAAAACATCAATATCGTGTTTTCAGACAGTATCAGATGGTTAGAGGACAGAACTAACCTCGGAGATTCAAGGTTGGAGACGCAGAAGAAGGTTGAGTACGATAATTTGTATTTGAACAGGAAGAAGAACAAACTTTAGTTTAACCATTGAAACTCCAAGGTTTAATTTGCTTTCGTATTCATGTTAATATATTCTAATATTTGATTTAATGATTAATACAAATCATTTAAATTCTTTCTTCCACAAATAAAAAAAAGATTAAAAATAATAGTGTTTTTCATTTTTCTTCTACAAGTACATTCATGTCATGTTAAATTCAGATTTCTCAAAATAATTTCATGGCCATTGGTGAGAGTGTTATCTTAATTCTTGAACTAGACAATTTGCCCAAAAAATCCAATCTAGATCATTCCTTTTGGTCCTATTGATAGACAAAAGCAATAATCAAAACATAACCACACATTTAAAACAATTTGGTACAGAATTTAATCCTAATCAACAAAACATCCCATCCTCTAAACCCTGGTACATCTTAGCAATAACTAAACAAAGTTTTATCCGGTAAGATTTGGGTACATCTAAGCAATAACAGGACACCTTTTTGTTGGGCAAGTTCAAGAATACGAGGAAAGAAACAGAAAGACTATACTTATCACCCACTTGAACTTGCAGGGCCAACAAGAACTCCTTGAGCTGAACCTTCCTTTTTGCTGCTTTCATCTTTCACCTCACCTTCAGATTTCTTTATCCTAATTTTGTATTTTGCCTCAAAATCAGCAATTTCCTTTTTCTTCTTCTCCAGGGCCTCATTAAGCCGGGCAATTACCTCCTCAAGCCCTTCTCTGTTTCGCTGCACAGCTGGGAGGACCTCTTTGATGGTTCTTTCCACCAGCACACCTCCAATCATCCGGTAACACCTTCTTGATGGGTCAAGCGGCTGAATGGCATTTATAACTAGTGAATGCTCACTCACTTCCATCTCCAACTCAGTGATCTTAGAATAAATTTGATTTAGTTCAGATCTCATAGCTCCATACATATTTGCAACCACTTGCTCATTTACAGGTTCCTTGCTCTCAGATTTGCTTGCCATTATTCTCTGCAAACAAAGGGTATAATGGTATTAGCATTGGAAAAAAAAAGAAAGAAAGCAACAGGCAATTTGAAAAGGGACACATAACACAACAGATGAGAGAAAGGGCAAAGAAGCCCTCGAGATTTACGATTTAATAATAGGAAGATTTATTTTAAACATATCAGGAAGAGTATCCACTATGCAAAATTGATATTAAGCAAGAAAGAGATCCTAACAAGGTAACATCAACACCCAAGTAGACGATTTGAACAAGCACTGTAATAATACTTGTAGCAACCTTTGAAAACATAAGCCACCCAAATTTGCTTCTAGATGAACTAAAACAATAGAAAATCTGTTTCAAAATGACACCTAACTCACCCCCTCCCCACCCCCCCCCCCCCAAAAAAAAAAAAAAAAAACCAAAGTTTATTTGCTAGCTGAGGACCTTAATCCGAAAAAGTAAACAAATTTCATCTATAGTTGATCAAATTGTTCAATATATAAGCCAAGCATTTGCACATTATCTCAAAAAGAGAAGAAAACCCATCTCTGCAAATGATACTACTAACACACGAAAAAAGGAAATGCTATTCGGAAAAAGCCTTATTCATTAAGCAAAAACTCCATGGAAAGAAGCTGACTGTTACAAGAGCATCGAATTTGAAGGCAAAAACATGGATTCGGGTTCCACTTGGGCTTTACCTCAAACAAAAAGGGGTGGGGGTGAGATTCGGATAGAGATCCTAAGTTTGAGCTGTAGTGCAATACAAGTACCGCTACACGATCATTCTTAATTAGGATAAGGAAGAAAAGTTTGTCTCAGCCTAAAACTTAAAAACAAACAAACCCTAAAATATGTTTAAAATGTTATTACAAAATCAATTAAAAAAATAAGAAAGCTCATATAGCACGCAATGCAATCAACTAAATACTGGTAAAATCTTATCATTCAATCATTATAAGGTTACATAATAAATAATAGTTGCAAACTATCAAAGTTAACAGTCAAATTTTTAGACTTAGAAATAGATTCAACAAAGACCCATTAAAGAAATTGAAAAAGTAAAACAGGAAGACAAGAAGGGGAAAAAGGAAGAAGCTTACCTGGGTCTGGGTGCCGGCTAGATTGCAAACCGGAGAAGAAGGGAAACAGGAAAGGTGAAATGGTCGATTCCAACGGAGATGAGTGAAGAATGATGAATTTGGAAAGCGGAAAAAAAAACTTGGGCTGGCTGTAATATGATTTGTACGTTTATTGGCCCATTTAATATCATTCGGTTTTAATCTTCAACTTTTTAAACCCAAATGAAATTCATTTTTATTTATTTAGTATGTTTTATTTGTATTGCCAATTAAGGTTTCATATCGATGTTTTTAACTTTTATTTTTAACTTTTTATTTAAAACAGGAAGAAAAAAAAAAAAAAAAAACAAAACTCATTCATTAAACTAGACTTAAATTATTATTTTTTTATTAATGAGTTTTTAACTACGGCATTAATTATTAATAGTGGTGGTAGTATTCCTTTCCTTCTATAATATCACGAAGTCTTTACATTTTAATATTTAGAAGAACGAAAATTTTATGTTTAGCAACTAAGAATTTTGAGAGCAGTAAATTTTTAAGCAATTACCACTTCTGAAACCCAACGTAACATACAAATTCACAAACGATCCCATTAATTACAACAACAGCAAATATCGTCTCTGCCGGCGCTAACACTAAATGTTTTTGCCTCTAATACAATTAGTTTGTTTCAACACCAACTTATGCTACAAATACTTCCATCCGCAGCTTCCACTTGACTCGTGCGTGCGATTTCTCTTCATCTGCCTTAGACTCCGACAGACATGCTTTTAGCTTTCTTAACCACGACTGGCAACTGGCAATCCAGGTGAAAGGGCTGTCACAAAGGACAAACTACTCTTGAGTGATGATCAATGCCAAAAGCATAAAATGTGCATTTTACAAACTGAAAAATGTACTACTACTACTACTACTACTATTACAACAACAACAACAACAACAACAACAAAAACAACAACAACAATAACAACAACAACAACAACAACAACATGCTACTCTAGAGGCTGATTAAATGGCCTAATTATGGTTCAAGCAATGATAATCTATACACTATTACATAAATATAAACCAAAAAGGGGACAAAATGCCAACATAGGAGAGAGGGAAGGAAAGCCACCTTAAACTTGATGCTATTAGCTATCTCAAATAATCTTGTTTCGGACCTCTTCAAGTTTCTTCAGTATCTCCCCAGGAGTACGATCCAACTCGTCTGCAATTTTTCTTTGCAAATCCAAAGGTAGGGTAGGAAACTGCTCACACAAATCCCCATCAATCACATCCTGCAAAATCATTTGAAACTTTCAAAACCAGAAGTAACATGATAAGTAATATTGGGGCTATAACCCTCAAGTTCAGTCAATTTAATATATGGCTAACAACAGCTCAGCAGTAATTATTTGCATAAAAAAAAATTAACTTTCTCAACATCATTTTTCAAACAAATCGATTCTTTCTTTTGATAACATGAGAATGAGATGAAAATACACCAACAAAACGTAATGATGATAATGACAATTGTGATAATATAATGCTGATAAAATGGATAGAGACAAACATAGTTCACAATCTTCCAAACTAAAGTAAAAAGCAAGTGGCCATGGAAAAGACTCTAATTCTTAATAGCACCTGGAATTGATTTTGAAAACCTTCCAAATAAAAATTAATTACATCCTGGAGCCATCTCTGAGAATATGGCTTCATAGATAAACAATTCATTTCAGTGTGTAAGTAGGAGGTTTACCTTGACAGGGAAATAAGCAGATCTATAAGCCATATGATCTCGTCCACATAAGGGAGGGTGTTCCTGTCTCATATGCATCTCTAGGTGAGAAAAGAAGTCAACATCATCACGGGAAACAAAAGGAAGCAATGCCCCCAAGCTCCCCATCACTGTTCCATAAAGAACACACTCTCCTCCACCTGGTATCAGAGATGACTTCTGCAAGCAAGTTACCACATCTCCAATATGGAACTGAACTATCTCCTCTACCTTGTTAGGAGCTCCATTGAGCCTCCCTTGTTCCCATTTTATCTTTCCACCAGTTGGGTCTTCTTCTATCTCATCTGATACATCTTGCGATAGCCGCACAAAATAGACATTCCCAAACTTGTCTGCACCAGCCATGGTGTCAAAATCTATATGGTATGATGCAGTAAGCCATCTTGGAACAACATCATCGGCAAATATATACAGTTGATTTTCATCCCTTCTATACTTGCAAAAATGGAATGACTGCAATAAAGGACCATATTTATTATGGATCTGAGAATTACTGACAAAAAAGGCAAAACAGAGGAATGTATAAATCAAAGTGGACTATCATATAAGCACCAGGGAGCATTAAAATTCAACCTTGCAAACTTTTCTTGCTTTCAGCCATAGCCTAAAAGGAATTGCTTCATCAGTTTTACAAAACCCATATACAAGTCAAGCATCACAAGACAAGAAATGCATACAAGAACTAAAAAATTTCAAGAAATGAGCTAAGGACATGAGAATTCAGAAAATTTCAGAAAACATACCTCTTGGATGTCCCCAACATATATTCGATCACGATAAGTTTGGATAGAGACAATAGTGTTAGGGAAAAGCTTATTCTCACATTTCCTAAGCAGTCTCTTCTTCCCTAAGTCATATAATCGGAGCACAGGTCCTATCCCAGCAAGTAATCTTCCCTGAAACTGGGATAAAGCAAGAGGAACACCTTCAACTTGTGTTTTGTGCAAGAGTTCAAGTGATCTTCCATCTTCTAGAAACCTATAAATATGAATGAATCCAGAAACTAAGCTTCTTTTGGGCCAAAACTGCAGACCCTTGGCTGTGCCGACAGCCAAGAGAGTTCCATACTCTTTATCATGGAAATTCACAGTGCACACACTGAAAGCAGCTTCATTGTCCTGAAGCTCCAAAAGACAAGTTGTGGTAGCTGTCCTTGGATCAAGAACTCTAATGCAAGAAACCCACTTGCTCGACTCTGCTTTTGGATAACCATACTGCTCATCACAGAGGGGATCCTCTTTGTCCTCATCATCACCACCATTTTCCATTTGGTCCACATTACCATTACCATTTTCTCCCATTCCGGCAGCCTCAAAAAACTCCTTTCTTACAGCTTCACGCTCTTCTGCCATAAACGAGCCTTGGTCACTCTCAATAATTACCAACAATTTCCGCTTTGGTTGCAGAACAAATTTCCTAGGAGTATACCTCAAAGGAATGGCAGTCTCATTAAAGGTTTCTCCAAGACGCTCAATGGTGAAAACCCTCAATGCATCCCCAGCAACAGCAACGACACCTTCAGCACACTGATCAGATGAAAATGAGGCAGCAAATTCAAGTGTCTCGTAAGAAAGAGGTGTTAGCAGAAAATGCCCTTGGTGAATATAACCAAGCCATGGTCGACTAGACAAGCAAAGCATTGCAGGTCGGCCTCTCACTTTAACAGAGAACAACTTTGGGGCTCTCAGCCCTAAGAATCGTGAACGGGAATCAGAGAGTTGCCCTGTAACCATATCCACTACTGTACGGAACAGAACTCCATTTTGCAGACCAGTATTAAGGAAAAGACTGGCAGGGTGATCCGCACCATCCTCCCCACCAACTGATGCCTTAACTTCAAGGAAAAGGAGAGACTCAGGAGGTGAAGACACACTCTGCACACTAAGAATCTGCATACAATCATCAGGATCCAAAGACAATATACGTATTGTATTATCATATGAACCAACTGCAAGAAAACGGGACCTTTGTCTTCCTTCAGGAACAGGGGCAATGTCCAGACAAGCCACATCTCCAGACATTTCATGCTTCTCCACTTCCATCAGCTGCCCAGTCATATCCACCTCAAAGTATATAAGCTCCCCTCCACTCAATGCAATAACCACTTGAAGCCCATTTGAGCCAACTTTAACAATTGTCCTTTTCCCAGGAGTTCTCCACTCATTAATACGTCCATCTTCCCTTATATGCCTAATACCATTTGGGTGAACTTGCATCAGCGAATCATCACCAATCAAGGAAACAGCAAGAGAAGGAGTAGTATCGAGAAACCCACTATCACTAACTTCTTCAACTGTTTCACCAATGGAAAGGACAAGAGTCGCATTGGCAAATGACACAACAATGTATGCATCAAAGGCATCATTAACATTCTTTTTCACTGTCCACACAGCACTTGGGACACCAGGAAGTTGTGAGACAGCCATCTCACTGATGGCCAAACCTGGCCTTAGTATCCTCAGAGATGAACGAGGACCACGTCCACAAAGTGTAAATATCTGTGGTGTTTCTTCCTCAAAGAGATTAGCAATTTTCATGTCCATTATTGGCATCAGGCTCTCAGCTTGGTCAATCCTAACTAGATTCTTAAGCCCTCTAGGCTGGAAAAACACTGGCTGGAAACCTTCTTCTGTTTCCATCAATGTAGATGACGAAGACTCAACATCAGGTTCATCTCCTATAGCCTGAAACTGATACAAAGCATGATTGCCAAACTCCGAAGCTGCAAAAAGAAAACCAGTTTTCAACACACACATTGAAGCCGTAACTGGAATTGTATCAAAATACTTAATCTTCAACTCTGTAACTCCATCATTTCCATGCTCCAACGTAACCTTAAAAATATCCCCATATTCTGTCTGCAAAAGAAAGAAGAACATTGACTTCTGCTTATGTGTAGCCGCCGAAACAATCAAAACACCACGTTCTTCTGGCAAGTCAGCTCGTCTGGGAATCACCGCCCTAACGTCCGGATGCCCCTGATTCTTATAAATAACAAAATTCTCCGCACAAAC